AAAAAAATCATTGAGCCGTTTTGGCGGAAGTGACGAACTGCAAGCTTTGAATGCTTATATCTTCTAAATGCGAATTTTGTCACTGTTTTGGAGCACACTGCCTTATAGATAACCTTAAGACTAACATATTGATACTAACACCCAAAAAACTTTAATTTTGATTTCATGGGGACTTTAAGAGATGCAGAAGTCCAGGGAATACATGCGTTTCCTGGAAAACCAGATGTTTAGACTACGTCATCTCTTTCCGAGAAGGAGATAATGCTGGCCTGAGCAGCTTCAACATTCTTTCTGTCAAATACCATAATGTACCTAATACATACCACACATGAAAATAAATTATACATGAAAATATATGAAACACCTGTGATTCACAACTACCCACTCACATTTGTGTAACCTTATTGGTGTCAAGTTTCATGTCAAAATGATCCTTCTGTAATTTCTTGAAGGACGCTCTATACCACATCTTTATAACTTCAACGGGACTCTGCAAATGAGTCAGCTTCCAAACAAAGAAAGTTCTTCCCTCCAAAATTACACCTTTTTCATTGGTCAAGCTAAACTCAGAAGGTGTGACCTTGCCAGAAGTTAAAAGACCACTACTCAGTGACCTCCATCTGTCATATGTTTGTTTAGACTAGTTTTGTGTTAGTGTTTTAGTTAATAAAACTTTTGTGCACAATTACACGAGTTTGGTTTCTGTGGTCACTACTTGCAAACAAAGTCCCTTTAACGATCCGAAAGGGCACACCCTCTACAGTAAAGAAAATCTCCCTAAACTCTAAGTTTTATTACCTTTTAGTTTACTTCTTGTGGGAATGAGACCATTATATCAGTCGCACTAAGATATTTCAAATGATAACATGACGGATAACATGGGTGGGGAAGAAGGAACAAATGTAAAGGAATAATAGTTGAGAAAAAAGCTTTCCCACATCTTTTCTCAGTGAGATGTCGAAACAAATGCTTGTATTTTAATACACTGTGTTTGTATTTTCCGTATCTCATCAGATCAGAGTGTCTGAGGTTCTTCTAGCCTTACAATGTGAACAGATTAATCCAGTAAAGGTACGGTGGGGCAGTTTAAAGTTTACTTATCTGAAGTGATAACTAATGGCTGTAGGTTCAAAAGTGACAGATGTAGAGCTTCACACTGACAGTGCTTTTGCTGTGTAGCAGAGCTGCAGCTCTACATAGAAAAAAACCCCCCATTGGATCACTCCATTGAGTATTTCTGTTAATAACCGCCATCAATATTCATTGGAAGTCAGTCACTGACAACTGTTAAAACCTATTGTCATAAAATCTGATTTACATGAGAAGGGGCTTCAGAATTACATCCAAATGATGATGAATCTACACAGAACACAAGCCAAAGTGAAGCTATAAACAAGTGAAATCATCTGGATTCAGTCAGATTTACTGAATAGAAAGTCATCTGTCATTGCATTTAAATTTTGACTGGAGGAAGTATATATTTTGTCAAATAATAGTTGAATAGTTCACTCCATTATTTTATGTTGCTTAAAGCCTATTTTACAAAAGCTTGTGTTGATAAAGGTTTACGATGCATTTTCAGCAAACAGGCTCAGTAGTGAAACTCTTCTTGAAGCTGCTGTTCATTTCTGCTGACGAACACAGTGTGAATGCTGTTAGCTGTTAACATGGGTTGCAGTATAAACACATATGAACAGGGCTAATGGTGCGTTCAAGTCATGTCGGATAGATCGTATTTACGAGTTGAACGCACATGAACGCCACCACAAAGTCGTTATTACGAGTGGGAAACTCTAAATTTTCTTTAAGCCCCGAGTTTCCGAGTTGGGGGCGTGTCAATGAGAAACATGGCGGAATCGATGGATACAGTACAGACGTCACACTGCACATCTCCAGCTCCAGCGTAACAGTCAGCAGAGAGTTTGGTCTTCTTCAGTTTCTCCACTAGTTCAGCCAGAATGGTGTTTTTCCCTAAAGCAGGTCTTGGACTGAAGGTCTGTCTGCACTGAGGGCAGCTGTAGACTCTCTTCTGATCCTCCTGATCCCAGCAGCCTGTAATACAGCTCTTACAGTAACTGTGTCCACAATGAATAGTCACTGGATCCTTCAGGAGATCCTGACACACTGGACACAAGAACTCATCCTGAGAAAATCTGGCTTCTGCCATTTTACTGCATGAATACAGAGACACAAACACACAACAGCTCAGCTACACTTCAGTTTCTCT